ATATCGGTTTTATAGCGATATCGCTTGTTAGTTTTGTCAATACTAAGCAATTAATTTCATTTCGATAATCACTTATTCGAGACGTTAGCTTAATAGTTATTGCCGTACGAGCAATGTGTGACGATAATTGTATTCCCGATACGAAACAATTAACCTTTTCTCGTTTAATGCGTACAATTTGAGCCATATCTTCGCTTATGAAATTACTCTGCGACCCAGAGTCCAATATAGTAATATATTACATATAACAGGTAAACCATTGTTATCGATACGCGTACTATGGCTGTCGGCAATATTATTTGGTCATTAGTATGATATGCGTGTGCTGTTACCGTAGTATTAGGTTCAGAATCAACGTTCGTTTTTACTTCGTGTTCTTTATTATTTGATTCATGAACTATTTTTACCAAATGTAATAATGAATTATGCGGTTTATTGCTTTTAAATTTTTTTTTAAATTTACATTTTTTGTCCAAATGTTTTCGTAGACAAATTTTGCATAAATTTAAATCCGTAACCTTTTGAATTCGTTGAGGAACTGTCATATCCAAAAACGTCGGACATTTGTACACGGTATGTGATTACTTACAAACAAAACATTTTATACCGTCAGCGGCAAAATATGACGATGTAGCACGCATTTTATTTTGATTATTATTATTACCTTTTTTGGTAGTAGTAGACTGAGGGGGAACATTAATCTGCATTGCTGACTCAACAGCTTCCAAAATTTGACACCTTTTTTGTAAAAATGTTATCAACAAGTCTATTGATGCTACACTGGTTTTGGGGGCTTCCATTTCCCATTCAACATCCGCATATTTTTAAAATTACCGAAATTCTCAAATTATTTCAAGTTAATACATACATAAAAATAAGAACAACCCATAGTAACTCAGTAATTAAAATAAGTCAAAAACATGCCGAAAAAGAAAATTGTATAACTCAAAAAATAGAAGAATATTCAACTAAACAAATCAATCAATATGACTACGTTAAAGCTATAACTTATAAGCTTCAGAAATGAACCTCATAAAATATAATTATTTTTTTTTATTGTTTTATTATATTAAAATTATTAAATTGATAGGTAATATTTATTTTTTAAATTATTAAATATTATATTATAGAATGCATTAGGTACTTTTTATTATTTAAATTATTATTTTATTATCTTTATATTATAGAATGCATTACTTATATTTTTTTTTACGATAAATGATGAATTATTATTATATTACAATTATTATTTTTTAAATTATTAAATTTATAATATTAAATATTATAAATAATTATATAGAACAAAGGGTTAAAATGTATGACAGTATTATAATATGATATAACTGATATTAGATTGATAACTTATAATATACTTAGTGTAGGAGCTTACAGGTGTATGTACCTTTTTTCATCGTGTAGGAACTTACACATGTACCTGCTTTTTACTGTGTAGGAACTAACATAATATGTATCTTGTTTACCTGCTAGGTCTCGTGTAGAAACTTACATTCGCCCGATTTTTCCATCATCTTTGATGCAATGTTCATTATTACGTACCGTAATATTGTTCGATTTATTTATTATTTTTTCACACTCTGCTAGAGCTTGAAAAAATAATTCTTCAAACTCGCTTCTGTATACTTCGTGTTCCTCGCTTAAGCCAGACGCTCCTTCTTCGATCTCTGATTGTGTTTGTTCAAACTCACGCCATACTTCTTCTAGTTTATCTCTCCTTGCTTTAATAATTACGCTATCAATGTCCTCTGCGTTGACCATGGTAGAATTTATCGTTCTAGTTAGTCTGCCCTTTAAAACACCATGACGGATTATGAGCTCCGCGTTATCTGGCACTTTTACGATAGACTGGATATATTATTATACACCTTAACGCAACTCACTAGACTCTAATCTTAATTTATTAATGGAAAATACGCTACTCCAACCTAATTTTCGCAACACTGTACTTATTTCAGGAATGGAATTTATAAAGGATTTCTAATTGGTCAATTATAAAGAAGCTCTTACCTCTGTATAATATCGATGTATTGACAATAATTATTACTCTGAACGATTTTGCAATACTGGTTGGTACCTCCTTGAGTTGGCTTTTGAACAGCACACCAATGTTACACCGCTCTATGCTAACGCGAATGCTGATACTGTTCTGGTCTCTAAATGACTGCACCTCGAATGATCATTACTGATGATAAATACACTAAAATCCGGTCGAATGAACCAAAATGTACGATATTTTAAGTGGACTGTATACTTTTATTTTAAACTGGTTAGTATTTTATTATTATACATAATAATGATCTTAAGGTGGACGGTAGTACAACGTTCGAGAGACTACGAATGACAACTGAACTGCAAAAATATTATTGTCGTTACGATTGCCCGGCGAATAAATGTTATCGCGGGTCGTGACAGTCGAGATAATACAATTTATTACAGTGATATAGGTATATACTTAACAGATTACCTATTACACCATTCTTATTAATATAGTTGTGTACCTACCTAAATATTTTTTAAATAAACTATATAATAAATATACCTATATAAGACTGATGTAGTGATGTATTTATTTAATAATTCTAAACATCTATCATTTTGGTATACAATTCATTGTAGACTTAAAATAAAACTATGGTGTTTAGTGTTTACTATGATAAAATAATATGTATGTATCTATAGTAATATAATATCAATTATATTAATTTATCAAACATAAAATATTATTGTAATTAGGTACCCTAAACTTAATTTCTATAATTATAACATATACCTATGTGTAGTATGTACTTATATGGTGTATATAGTAAAGCTTATGAACTACTAGTTAATACTATATGGGAGACAAATATTGGAAAATCTTGGTGAAAATTCTTGGAAATCAAGTGGCAACTCATATACAGNTGATTGGGCCGGATACGAAACAATAATAGGCCGTGCCGCCCGGTCACCAAAAATACTTCGCGCGGTACTCACACACCGACCGACCTGTGTAAAAGTGTGTATATGTGTATAGCGACTCAAAGGAAGTGGACGGGGTCGCCGAGCAAGACCGAAGAGTGCTAGTGTGTGGTGGGTGTGTAAGTGTGTATTTGTGTGAGTGTGTGCTTAAAAACTAATAATAAAAGGTAACACGTTCAAGTAAATGATATGTTGCTGTATAATACAAATCTAAAATAATAATGATACAGATATATAAAAAAATCACAGCAACACAATAATATAATTATAAAACAATCTAGATAGCTACTAATATTGGCCGTTTGAGCTGTAAGCTCATTAAAGTATAATATAAGCTACTGGCTCAACAACATAATATAATAATAATAAGGCAAGCTATTAGAGCTACTAAAGAATATAATAATAAAGACTCACGTATTCGGCGGTGCACTGCTGGCCAGCTGCTACCTGTGCCTACAAAAAATGGTAATTGACACACACACACACAAAATAATAATAATTAACAACAACCGGCGATTAGCGCGTACAAAAGAAATATAAATTATAAAAACCGGCCAATAATTCAATACAAAATAAATAATACAAGTGGCGATTGGCGCCCACAAACAAATATAAAAATTATAAAAGTCCGGCGAAAAATGCAATACAAATAAAATATAATATTTGGCGATTAGCGCGCACCAAAACAAAATATACAGTATTTGGCGATTAGCGCACAATAAAAAAAATTACAATAACAACGGCGATTTGTGCCTTACAATAATATAAAGAACAATAATATAGAGACAAGAATTATAATAAAACTCTGCTGCGATTCGCGCACGCAAATAATGAAATATATTATAATAAATAAGAATAATGCACTCGGCGATTAGCGCCCAGAAATATTACAAAATCGAGGTTATTTGAGCCGTTGAAAACGTAATAGTAAACTTTGACGATTTGCGCCCGTGAATATATAATATTTTTTGCGTTGACTGTGTTTAACGAACTAACTAGTGACGGATTACGGCGGCCGTACTGGACATAATATACGGGAACTCGTCGCGGCGCAATCTACATATTATATAATTCACATACGACATAATTATAACGAAAATAAACAATATAAATAATTTACTAATAAGCTGTGTGTGGGTGTTTGTGTGGTGGTCGGTGGGATGTACCGGTACTTACTACGTACCTACCTATATGAGAGTGGCGGAGACGACGGCGCGAACACATATACTTTTATTTAAATAGCTATACTTTACTACCATATCACTTGACAATAATTACTGTTACCTATACTGGCCATAGATAACATAGCACCTATATAAAATTGATAAAAATTTGGTAATTAAAATGCTAATAACATAGCAAATGAGTAATATATACTATTTACTGACAAAAAAGACTATCACAAGATTGCATGTGATCATAATTGAGATAATTATGTGCATTCGATTTCTAGTTGAAGTATAACTTCCAAAATGTTATCTGCAAACACATTTAACATTTTAACATTAGGTATAAGATTGTATTATTTATTTTTAAATTTCAGTAAATATAAATAGTTATAAACTATAAAGAATAATCGTGGACTATATATTTGATTTGTTGTTGCAATAAAATGCACTTTCTATTTACTTTAGTGCGATTTTAACTGTTTTTCATATAATTCATATAGTTTTAAGGATACCTATTTAACTTAATGTGACGTATTAAAAAAAAAATAAGTTACAGCGTACACATGCTTACATATAATATGTACTATTTAAGTAAAATATTTCTAACAATAATTAAGACATTATTAATGTAAACTAATATATGTATATTATAGGGTACAAAAAAAAAAATTGTAATTAAATAGATATTTGAAAAAATAATGTAATAATACCATAACATAATAAAGTTTGTACATTATTATTATTAATATTTCATAAATAATACATATTAGTATTAATAATATTATGTAACTTCAGTTAACAACTGTTATTTTTTTTAGGATATTAAAACAATGGATTTGTCATTAATTATACAGTAGAAAAAAAAAATGTCTATAATATAATAATATAGGTACATATTACACACCAAATATTTATGTAATTTAAAATTAGTCTCTTGCTAAAATAGGTCACAGGATTTAATTGGGGTATTTATTGAAACGTAAAAACATGTAGCCGTCTTTATTATTGGGATATATCGGCTTTGGGTGGGTCAGCAAGTCCAACAAGCCGGTGCATGAAGAGTTTCCGCTAATCGCCATCCGAAACATCGTGTCGTTGCCTTTGATCACGTTATACATCTGGGGTATGCAAGAGCGAGAGAAACATAAACAAAATCAATAAAACTCATCATATTATTAATTGATAAAGCTCATTGTAGAAGGAAACAAGTATCCGGGGTCAAAGAGGCTAATTCTGTGGTTAGCTCAAAATCACATCGAGTCCGAGTTCATACGTGTTTAGTAGGTACTCGAATTGTTGATAATTTTTGAATGCATTATACATATACATATTTGTATTATTATACAATTTGTTGTAAACGTCTAATATATTTATTCAAAAAAGTGTAAATAGTCTAACGCTTTAGGTATCTACATAAAGTATTTAATTTAATTGTATTTGCAAATTCAGTTATATTATGGTGCCAATTTGTAAATTAATACTTTAAGTTCAACGTTTTCCGGACAGAAGTACATAATATTAGATAACTACTGTATTAATATTATAAATATCATCCATTATTTGTAAATAATAATACGTTACATATTATTTTTTCTACAAGAACCTATAATTATTCATTATTATATAAGCTAATAAAATATTATATTTTCGTTAAATCTAAAGATAATAATATACTCTATCTCATATAATCGGAGTAACCTCGGCAGCGACTGATTTTTGAACGGTTCTGTCGGACCACGCTCATCGATAAAATCGGTTTTTTACGTGAGCTCTAGTTTCGTTTCGAAAAATTGTTTTTCCTTGTTATTAAGTTAGCGAAACGTTACGAGTGATTAAGTATACTTCCGACAGCGTGAAACTGCTAAATATGTTTTCCTATGTAGGGCCTATATCTACCAGTATGGAGAGTCTTATATAAAGTACTCGAGTAAAAGTGTATTTAAATACGTTTTTAGTACAGGTATACTCATACAATGTATTTCAAAATAGTTTAAATACTTTTGAAAAAACACTTGAACAAAGTATTTAAATTACTTTCTCTGCATTTTAAATAAAAAGCTAATTTTCAAATACTTATTTTTTGATTTATATGATTTTATAATTTTCAATTTTTATTTTAGTCGCGTAAAATTAATATAAAAACCAAGAAGATAATACATAATCATATACATATTTTTTTACATTGATTTATTCAAAAGCGAAAATTCAAATACTTCAATAAAGAAAACAGATGAGTACCTATTTCAAAGTTTCACCAAATGATATACAATGTAAAATACTGAGTCTTGCAAAGAATACTTTCATTTTGTATTCAGAATACATATTCGAATAAATGAGAATTAATGTATTCAGAATACGTATTCGAATACTTCTTAAAAAATATATTCAGAATACATATTCCAATACTTTTAAAAGTATTAAAAAAAAAACAGATGCACTACTTGGAAGGTTAGTGTTTTATTTTATGAATACCTTTTTTATTGAAAGTGTTTCATTTAATGATAAAAGTAATTTATTAGGACTTTTTGATAAGTATGTGAAATCACATATCCGATAGTATGTGGACAAAAACTTTAATGTTGATGGTTTATAATAATATAATAATATATCTTGTCACAACTTTAAAATTATTTTTCTGGATCAGAAAAAAAGTATTTTTTAATGAATAAAAAAATACAAATAAAAGTATTCAGAATACGTATTTGAATACTTAAAAAAATAGTATTTAAAATAGTATTCGAATACAAAAAAAGTATTCAAATACTTTTATTCGAATACTTTACAAGACTGAAAATACTCTATGAATAATTATCATAAAACATTAAAAACGGTTCAGTTGATATTTTATAATAGTTTGAAAGTATTTATAAATACTTTTGTATCGAGTATTCAAGTACGTTTTTTAATAAATTTTAAAAAGTTTCTTTTATCTCAAGAGTAACTAAGTGCCTGTATGATGTATAGTGGACAAATCGAATTTATTATACGCATACTATACTTACGGCACATTTAGAATGTACTTTGCGGGCTTCCGTTTGGTGACTGGTGATGACCTGGTATAGACTTACGGACGTATGTCTTTTGTTGTAGTCATCAAATGACGATGGTGGTTTTATCAAACAGTTAAAATGGTAATGTTCCATGTTTATATAGTCTGTAGACGAAAAAAAACGAGCTCGTTGTAAATATTGTATGATAGTGGTGTGATATTCTTAAACAATTTATTTTGTGTATTACTAGCTGTATAACCTGACGTTGACCAGGGATAAAATATGAAACCGAGATGAGCAATGGAATTACTTGCAGCGAATTGTTATGAGTAACTTTTTTTTATTACGTGAACCGATTGCAAGCATAAGTAAACGAATAAAATGTGATTGATTTTAACATAATTAGTTTTAAAATTAATTAATTTTAAAATAATTAACTAACATTTTTAAAAGCGTCGGGAAAAACATACAAATAATTAAGGAAAAACATTGATTTTACGCAAAAATCGATTTAGATTTTAATAGGTACTTTAAATTGTCATCTAATGCTTATTATTTCTTAAAAAGTTATCTATATAGGTATTTAAAATAATTAAAAATACATAGAAACGATTTTTTTTTGAAATCATTGAAAGTTCAAAATTTGACAACTTTTGTCAAAATCACCAGTATTTAAAAATAGTTTTAGGGAAAGAACCAATAAAAAAATTCAGTTATAAATTATGACTATAAAACCAAATTTACACAATGAATAGAGGAGAATTTCAAAGATATAGTAACATTTTTATTTTTTCGATACTAGGTACCAATACATTAAAAGTTATTTAAGTTTGTAAAAATAACAGATATTTGAGAGTATTATAACTTTTTTCTTATTAATTATATCAAACAATTAAACTCAAAGTCACAGAAAACATTAACTTCTATAATGTATATTGTTTAAGCTTTTGGTGTCTCTATTAGGACTACAGACTGAGTGGCTCTAACCCAAGCCAAACAGTTTTTAATATATTGTATATGTATAGTGTATACATACATGTAAACCCATGAGGGTGTAATTTCTAATTCTTGGTTATTTATTATGTAATTTAGTCCAAATTTAAACTCATAATAACTATACAAAAAACTGTGTTTATATATTTTTTTATTTTTTTTTAGTTACAGACTGAACTACTCACGTGGAACGTTCTTTTGAATTTTCAATACTTAGCTATACAAGTTTAAAGTCTTTTAGTCTTATATATTTTTAACTATATCTACTTAAAATTTGTAAATTTTCAATTTAATACATTTTACCAAAATTTGAACTTTAAATGCTTATAAAAAATGATTATGTATTTTTAATATTAGTTGACCACTAATGTAACAATATATCACGAACCTTGTATTCAATTTTAAAGCTTTTTGACCAAACGAAAAACATTCAATTGACATATTTTATGGAAAAAAAACTAAATAAATGAAAAATGAAAATGTCTATGAACAGTCCACAACAAAAAGAAATATTTGAAAATTTTATATTGATTTTAAATCAAGGGAATATCCAATAATGTAAAAATGTGGACTCCAAACGCTCATAAAAATGTAAGATATTTTTTTTTTTTGATCCAGGTAGAAAACTTATGAGGAATCTTTTATCAAATTTTAAAATCTTAGATATAAAATGAGAACATTTTATAGATTTCTACCTCCAAATAGTTTATGTATGTTTGTGATTCTTACCAATTTTGTTAAATTTTAAACTTCAAACCCTCATAAACAACTATTTCGGACTTTTTTTATTTATTTATTTGAAGTGCCCAATCAGTAATCTACAATCTATACATGTTCTTAGTATAATAAGTAGGTTTGATAGGTGACAAGTAAGAATGATATGAATAATAAGATTAAGGAATAATACGATTAGGGATTTCGGACTTACGCTCAACTATTTTTAAATTTCCATACACAACACATTATGAGGAAACTTATTATATTACATTTTAATGTATATTCACTAGGGTTAAAAAATACTTGACTTGACTTTAAATTTTTTTATCAACATTAATTTAAAAAAACTAATACAATTTGAAAATTGTATATACATATATTATAATCGTATAATACAATATATGCCCATATAAATAACTCAACAGGAGTCACAATATTTTTAACATTTTTAAGTGTATAGATGATAATGATAGTGATATAATGTTATTATTATTTATAAATAATCAGTGAAAATTTCATCTATCTACGGTAATTATTTTTAGAGTTGTACGTTATACCAAAGACCGATTTTGCATATAAATTCCCATTTTTAATACATTTTTTTATGCGCTTTTTTAAACTACTGTAAATTTTAAATTTTCAGCTCACAAATACACAAACTAGATTCACATTTCCATGGAAATGTGCACCGGAAAACATATACTAAAGTTGAAAATCGATACATTTCTTCGACTATTATCGTGTAGACAGGCAAAATGGAAAAACACAGATCGTTGTAAAATCAATACATTTATCTTTCCACTCAAAATCTAAAACATTAAATGTTAGATGTAACATACCTACTACAGTACTACCATTATATTAGTATAATATATTTTACGGAAAATATGGTATATTGCCAGCTATTGTTCCAGATGATCCTGACTGGCAAATTAATTTTTGTGTCAATCGATTAATAGTTAACAAGATACTTAATATGAATGAATACACTACAAGCAGTTATATTTTATATTATGTCATAGCGTTATTAAACTAAAATAGGTTTCTTAGAGTCACTACTCACTAGAGCGTCAATGAATCCTGTATTGTACTAAAATAATGAATTGCTACACTTACTTTTCTCGCAGCAATGTTTCGAGGGGTTTTTAAAATTGCCAATCCATAAACTGAATGATTGCCTCTTCATTTCATTTGGATTATGTTGAATGTAGGCACAACCACCAATAAGCATTGGCGTCATCGAGCGCAACACGGTAATTTGAAAATATTCCGAGGTTATATTATGTGGCGGGCATCTGCCTAAGCTACCCGTAGGGACTGTAACACATAGATCATCGATACAAATTAGCAAGTTTATTGTTTATAATGGTTTAGGGGTGTCAGGACAAAAAATCAAACACTCTATAAAAGCCATTTAAAAAAATAATACCTAGACAATAGGAAGAACACCAAAGTATAATTATAATTAACACAGAAATGGGTAGGATTTGTTGACGGACTTACAGTGAATATTATCAATTGCAATTTGCAATTTTCAAATATTATATAATCCATTACACAGGTTTTGAAATAATCCCAGCCAGAGATAAACACCATTCAAAATAATGTTATGAAATTCCAAATTTTGTTTGTACCTACTTGTTGGATTATTTTAATAAATAATAGGTATGCTCCGTACAGTCGTACCTGTTTATATTTTAATCAAGCGCTACAATTACGATACCCATTTACACATGCCCGAATACCAAATTAAACAATAAATAGTGTTTTTTATTTGTTTGTTTAAACAGTGAAAATCAACAATAAACAAAAATTCAATTTTCGTATTTTAAGAAAAAAAAATGCCACCTTTGGTTGGTTGTCTCAGTCGCCACTCGGCTAACAGAGGTTGATTCAGTAGCCTTATAAATGTATAATATAATATAATCCATGATGTTTCCAACGAATCTATTGGTGCAACTTTTATTGAAATGAGTGCAAACTTTTGTACATGCATGCATGCAAAAAAAATTAAAAGTAAATTTAAAAAAAAAGTATTTATACTTTAACGTACCTAACTACAGTAATAAGATGGAATAATAATAGCAATAAAATGAGAAAATTCATAAAGTATCTTACCGTGTAAGACATCACTTTCGTCCGGTCGCGAGATGGCCAGCTTCCCGGGGATAGCGATAATTGTGACAATCGACATCATCAATACTACCTTCGATCTCATTGCAGTGATGGTGTTGCCTATATCGTAAATGCAAGACAAACGAGAAAACGGAGAAGACATAACTCAAACAAACTGTAGTTACTGGAACGAAATAAAATATCAGATTCTGTATGGACGAGAGAAACTTGCCGGGAAGACGGGTACACTGATCATAGGTGAACCGTGAGCAGAAAGTATACTCTTTACACGGATAGCACAGTGATGGTGAGACACCCTCGCGGCGAGGTATTTTATAAGCTGCCACGGCTGTAGGATTAATTGTCCTCCGCACCTTGCGCTGGGTCGGGACGTATCATAGAAGTGACACCACACAAGGTTCTACAGATCTTCACTATAATAATGCCCATCAGACAGCAATATTAGTATAATTTATACTATTGTGTTTATGGGCGGGTACCCATAAAACAACCTACTTACTGCCCGGTTAAAACAATAACAAATACAGCAAACGCGACAGAAATGTAACCAAAATATAAAGATAAGATAAATAAACCAACATCATTTAAATGTTATAATCCTACAATATTGTTATGTATTATGTACAACTGTACACAGTCAATGATTAAGCTTAAGTGTTTAAGTATAACGCAACGTAAACCGTACGTGACTTTATTGCTTTACTGCGGTTCATTTTTTTTTTTTTGAACATCAGTTTGGATTTCTGTCATTATTGGTTTTTGAGTAAAATGCGTACCTATCTATATTTGTTATTGACGAAAACATCGGTGTCATAAAGTGTGGCAGTAAGCTCTGTATTAAATAAATAAAAAGTTAAAGTTAAGCTTCGCAGTTAATTCAAAAGCAATCTGTCGGGTCAAACATTTTTTCGTTTTTTATGGTTCTATACGTACTAAAAAATATTAGTAAAAAAAAAAAATTCAATCCTCTAAAAATACAAAAATGTCTGTTATTTTTCTTGATAAATAATCTTGTATAACATACTAATCTATTTTATGTATATTACATCTTTAGATATACTTTAGTAGATTAAGGCATAATGTTGTATTACATTAAGGCTTAAATTACTATTTGATATGAAAAATAATAATGTTTGTTAAATTATTTATCGGGATGTTTATTATTTAAATATTTAATAGTCATGTAAAGTGAAATATGTGTACATTCATGCACTGGACACTGTGATAAGACGTGGGAAAGTGGATAACTCTCTGTTGTACATTATTAGGTGTCTAGACTCAATAGAGTCACTGTAATGGATGTGCTAAAATTGAATTCAATGATATAAAATCATTGTACACGAAAAACGATTTTGATCGAAGACGAAGTATCAGTTAGTCAGCCTATAATATTACTAAATGTATTTGATGAAATTATTGAAATTAAAGTAATTTATTTCACTCTTCGACATTATAGTACTTGTAGGTTCTAGTAGGTAAAATTCATTTTTGAAAAAAAAAATACAGTTAAAAACGTCATTAAACTCTTAAATGTTTTATATGCCCAGAAATAATTATTTTTCAATCACAACAAAATAACTAAAACCGTTATCCTTGGATTTAATATGTAATTTAGTTCAAAGTTGAATTTAGAATGTTTGTAAAAATTACTGTGTTTATATATTTTTTAGATTTATCGGTTACTGTATGAACTATTTATGAGAATCCTCGTTTTAAATGTTTAATGCTTTGTAATAAAAATTGCTCATTTTATAATTCTTTAACTACGAAATAATTTGACAATTTTCGAGATTTTTGATAAATTTTATCAAAATTTGAAAATTTGAAATTTAAATTCGTATAAAAAATTAATTTTGCCTATGGATCTTTCAACAATCTGAACTTCTATTATATGAATACTTATGATGAACCTAGATTCAAACTTGTATTTGATTTTCAAGTATTTTGAAACATTGAAAAATATTTTATTGACATTTACAAAAAAAAATAAAATAAAATTTGAAAGTTGAAATTGTCTATAGACTGCAATAATTCAAAACGAGACAAAATATTTGATCACGTATACTGTATAGTAAAGATAAAATAAGTATTTGATGAAAATTTAAAGTACATGCATTAAAGTACATGTTAATAGTTTTTGAATGACAAAAAAATCAAAAAAATCTGTAGGTATGTGAATTTGTTAATTTCCAACTTAAAACGTTCGTAAAAAATTAATTTAATTTTCCGGTAACATTTTTTTTTTTTGTTAAGTGTACATTAACATTTATTTTACGTAAAAATTTGATTTTTTCTAATTTTTTGTTAGTTTTTCCTGATGCTTTTGAAAACTATAGGGAATTATTTCATATTCTATTAGAAAAGATGCAAAGGTGATGACAGACACAATATATATATATTATGTTGTATAGACTAGTTGTTACAAAAAAAAACTTTTCACGTCGTAAAATCAATACATTCATAACTCCGCTAATCGAACCTAAAATATTTGAGTAGAACAATATTAATGATTGATGATATTTTGTATAGGTAATTGCAATACACGAATTAAATTAATGTTCATTGAGTACATAATTTATAATGGATATAATTATTTGTCAATAATCGTAATGATAATATTATTCCTATTCTACCAATACAAATCAATGCTGGACTATGGTTATTTGATGAATAGGTATACTATAGTCTATAACTATTTAAGACTTTACTACTGATGTCTATTAAGGAATTTCTTATAAAATAACTTCGATTTTCAAGTGAATTGCAGAGAGAATTTTTTATTTTTGGGTTTGTGTTAATTTTTTACTCAAAAAAATATTCACTACATTTTTGGTTGTTGGTATGATATTTTTTATATGCATTTAAAGTTTACATTTTACAAAATATTGTAAAAAGCAAAACTTAAAACTAAATCCATCATTATGTTATAAAAAGCGTATTGATTTTTATACCTAACTTCGTCTTCAGTAATACTTAGTTCATATAAACTTTGGGGTTTTTAAGGATATTCTCAACTTTTATTACTCAGCAAGCGCAATATTCTCTTTTACCGTTGTATTTTTTTCCACTATTTTTTTGTTATATCAATGGGACGATAATTTATAGACATAATAAGACTAGTATACGCGAAACTATTGGAGACTCGCCTTTCGCTAATTTTGGTAATTTTTTTAAAGTACCTTTTATTATTATTATAACCTGGTGGCTTAATATAGTTTACGTAAATTGGTTGTATGAAATTGGTAATGAAACAAATTTATCTTGTATTTTAGAGTTTAAGGTGATAAGTCACTGACATTTCCATTGCAATAACTGCGTTCATAACGACATGTACAAAATATGTATAATAATAGCGTTATTAGTAATAAAAATGCAATAAAAATGCAATCATGCATTTATGCACTAAACATTGGTAAAATATGCATTCAAATATGTACTCAAAATTCAGAAATATGCATTTATATGCAATAACATTTTTAAATTATGCACATAAAATATGCGTGGTATGAAAAAATTCACAGCAAATTTTGAATTGATAATTATCAATAATTATTTTACTTATTAATCCTACCATTTTTCCTGGCCACATCAACCCAGTTCAAATTAAAAAATAGTAATAATAAATCAACTATAGTACCTATGTATAATACAATTGTAATTATTACAAAACGATATGTAGTCTGACTAGTCTGAGTAGCATAATACATTGTAGAGGTTATAGTATAGTATAGTATAGTTGTTCCAACCAAATTATATATTGAATTTATCAGTATATTATTGCAATGATTGTAAACACTATTGCAGAAATTGCTATTAATTAGAATATCTTTTACCAAAGAGTAGTGTTTGGATTACCTAACGATCTGTTAAAATCAACAACCGATTGTTGTTATAGTTCCAGAATGTTTGGTAACTTTTATCAAACTTAATTACTTACCAATTATAAAAGGTTCTTTTACCACTATCAAAACCAGCTTACATAAAATACATTGTAAAGGTAACTGAACGTTTTGTTGTCACGAGCGCAACCAAATATTCTGGTTACAGCAGCAATATTCTGCCTGTATACACAAGTCATTTTTTTCCGCGAAGATAAAATAATTTTTTATCCAAATTCAATTTCTTTTAACTTTTATAAATTTTTATAACACTCAAAAACCTAACTTAACTGATCAATACTTTGTTGTCATTATTGCGTTATTATTATGTTATTATTATTATTAAATCTGTGGTATATATACTATATTATACAACCTAAGGTCGTACGAGTATTAAAAAAATCGAAACACATACCTACTACAATTTTGTAAATTGGAAAGTATCTAAGAAACAAAAAAAAATTCAAAAATGTATTTGCTTAAACATATTTTTGTATGAAAAAATATGTGCTTATAACTCTAAAAAATCTAGTACATGCTAAATATGTCTTTATACCCAAAATATTCAAAAACATGCACAATTAAACTTTATATATTACATTTTATTACTTTTGTTTTGAAACTAATTTGTATTTCAGTTATCATGTTTTCCTGTGTTGCAAGAAAAACATGCAAATGTTTGAACTTACGAGCTCTGGTTACTAACTATATCTATAGGTACATTATAATATTATTTTTTATAATACTAGATGTCGCACTAGGTAAGGTCAGTGTCAAGAATTTGTTTCTTTTATAAATATATTTGTAAAAAAAAGTATGTGCCTTATTTTTATTATTTATTATAGTAGAAATAAAATCATATATTGTAACCAATGACAACCATTTACCATTTCAATTTTAAAAACATTATTTTTTCGTATGCTGAAAAAATGCATGTGAGCTACCATTATAACTTGTATTGAAAACGGTCCAGTAGTTTTGTATTCTATTAAATGTTGACTAACGCCAACGTTTATTTTCAACTGTATAACCCGGCTTCGGAAGTGAAAAAAATATGTATATAACATAGTGCTATATAAGTGTATCTTGTTAACCTCAGTTCATCAGAAAAATTGGCATCAGTGTATCTATCTCGATTTGTAAACTAATTCGACCGAGATTGACAATTAGCCGGTGACGGATTGGATATAGATCAATTTTACATTTTACAATTTGTATATAAATCAAACGTTGTACAATTACTTTCCAAACTTTTTTTTTAATATTTCCATAAGATAAATAAGGCATTTTCTCAAAATCGGTCAAGTAATTTTTGAACATATAGGACTAGGTACGCTACAAACGTATTTCATTTAACTCTCAAATTTGTTTTAAGATATAATTTCTTTATTTTAAGCCATAAATACTACGATTTAATGGTTGATTTTACCTCATCTGCCCGAGTAACCATTTATTTAAGCATAGGTACAAAATAAAATGAATAAAATACTAATTTATTCCTACTAATTCCATTAGTATTATGATTTGTAAGATATAAATAATGGT